CAATGAGATCTGTGATTTTATTCTATATCAGGGTCATGATGTGAGTTCAGTGAGGAATTATTGTTCAGCTTTACTGGAGGTGGCCTCATTAAAGACTACCATGTGGGGGCAATAAAGCATTTTCATCCATGAATATTCGATGACGTGTGTGTGTGAGAGGGAGAGAAAGTTCACTGCAATCTGATAACAAATAAGGGCATGTCGTAATCCAGGTGCAATAAAATGTGTTCCCCACATTGACAGAATGTCTGTATTTGTGTGTTATTTATTTTACAGGAAGCTGAGGGGGGTCATTTCCTGCAAGAACATGTAAAGGAAATCTATGCTATCAACTAGGAGGGTGCCGTGGCGAGTGATGGTCCAGAGGAGGTAGGCGTCATCCTTAAGTGATCACCGGTCTGAGTTTTGCAAAGGCTTCTGCCATTCTTCTTGGCATGACATACAGTGAGGGGAAAATAGTATTTGATCCCCTGCTGATTCTGTACGTTTGCCCACTGACAAAGAAATAATCAGTCTATAATTTGAATGGTAGGTTTATTTGAACAGTGAAAGACAGAATAACAGCAAAAAATTCCAGAAAAAAACGCATGTCCAAAATGTTATAAATTGATTAGCATTTTAATGAGGAAAAAAGTATTTGACCCCCTCTCAATCAGAAAGATGTCTGGCTCCCAGGTGTCTTTTATACAGGTAGCGAGCTGAGATTAGGAGCACACTCATAAAGGGAATGCTCCTAATCTCAGCGTGTTACCTGTATAAAAGACACCGGTCCACAGAAGCAATCAATCAGATTCCATACTCTCCGCCGTGGCCAAGACCAAAGACCTCTCCAAGGATGTCAGGGACAAGATTGTAGACCTACACAAGGCTTGAATGGGCTACAAGACCATCGCCAAGCAGCTTGGTGAAAAGGTGACAACAGTTGGTGCGATTATTCGCAAATGGATGAAACGCAAAAGAACTGTAAATCTCCCTTGGCCTGGGGCTCCGTGCAAGATCTCACATCGTGGAGTTGCAATGATCATGAGAACGGTGAGGAATCAGCCCAGAACTACACGGGAGGATCTTGTCAATGATCTCAAGGCAGCTGGGACCATAGTCACCAAGAAAATAATTGGTAACACACTACGCCGTGAAGGACTGAAATCCTGCGGCGCCCGCAAGGTCCCCCTGCTCAAGAAAGCACATATACAGGCCCGTCTGAAGTATGCCAATGAACATCTGAATGATTCAGAGGAGAACTGGGTGAAAGTGTTGTGGTCAGATGAGACCGAAATCGAGCTCTTTGGCATCAACTCAACTCGCCGTGTTTGGAGGAGGAGGAATGCTGCCTATGACCCCAAGAGCACCATCCCCACCGTCAAACATGGAGGTGGAAACATTATGCTTTGGGGGTGTTTTTCTGCTAAGGGGACAGGACAACTTCACCGCATCAAAGGGATGATGGACGGGGCCATGTAACGTCATCTTGGGTGAGAACCTCCTTCCCTCAGCCAGGGCATTGAAAATGGGTCGTGGATGGGTATTCCAGCATAACAATGACCCAAAACACACGGCCAAGGCAACAAAGGAGTGGCTCAAGAAGAAGCACATTAAGGTCCTGGAGTGGCCTAGCCAGTCTCCAGACCTTAATCCCATAGAAAATCTGTGGAGGGAGCTGAAGGTTCGAGTTGCCAAACGTCAGGCTCGAAACCTTAATGACTTGGAGAAGATCTGCAAAGAGGAGTGGGACAAAATCCCTCCCGAGATGTGTGCAAACCTGGTGGCCAACTACAAGAAACGTCTGACCTCAGTACTTGGTGGCGAAACCCTTGTTGGCAATCAAAGTCATGTTTTGCAGAGGGGTCAAATATTATTTCCCTCATTAAAATGCAAAAGAATTTATAACATTTTTGACATGCGTTTTTCTGGATTTTGTTGTTATTCTGTCTCTCACTGTTCAAATAAACCTACCATTACAATTATAGACTGATCATGTCTTTGTCAGTGGGCAAACGTACAAAATCAGCAGGGGATCAAATACTTTTTCCCCTCACTGTATGCTCTGAATCTCAGCCACCCCTAAAAGCCGGAGTACACGTTCAAGGCATTCCAGAAAGTGTTTGTGGAGCTGGACTGCTCAAAGCTCACAGTCAAGATGACAGGCCTCAAGAACAAATGACTGTCTTAAGCAGAATGACAGGCCAGAGGACAATTGTCATAGACTGAATGTCAGGGTTACTTTGTAACACCTTCGTAGTTAAACGCTGAGGTGCCTTTTGGAACTCTTCTCTCCCTTCATTTTTTCTGGTAGCAGGTCAGGAATGGTGTCCTCTACCACAGGCCCGCTTGTTGTCGGTGAAGCCTCCTGGGCCACAGAATCTGTGCTGGGACCAACCTCTGCCTACCGGGGGATGGTCACCGAGAGGCGGGGCTCGAGCACATTGCGGTCTGGGACCCCGTCCCCGATGGGCCCGTGGCGGTCATCTAGGCTAAAGAGGTTAGAGGGTAAGGAAGACACGTTTATTCTGCAAGGTGTGTTTTAAAGGGTCACTGCCACGGTATTTTCCATTGTGTTTTTGTATACAAGAGATACCAAATAGGTGTTTTTAATGAAGGATGTCATTGTAAAATGTAATGTCCATTTTGTTCTCATACAGTTGCGGTTTGAAATTTCCATTTTTGAATCCGTTGTACCATTTTGAGGTTTCATCAAGGTACACACATTTTACCACTGGTATTTTGACAATTCTACCATCAATCAATCAATCAATCAATGAAGTGGATCTATAAAGCCCTTTTCACATCAACAGATGTCACAAAGTGCTATGCAGAAACCCAGCCTAAAACCCCAAACGGCAAGCAATGCAGATGTAGAAACGCGGTGGCTAGGAAAAACTCCCTAGAAAGGCACAAACCTAGAGAACAACCAGGCTCTGAGGGGTGGCCGGTGCCCTTCTGCCTGTGCCGGGTAGAGATTATAACAGTACGTGGCCATTAAGGGCACATTTCTCTCCAAGATGTTCAAACGTTCATAGACGACCAGCAGGGTCAAATAATAAGCACAGTGGTTGTAGAGGTTGCAACAGGTCAGTCGGTACAGTCGGTACATCAGGAGTAAATGTCACTTGGCTTTTCATAGGCGGCCATTTAGAGGTTGAAATTGCAGCAGGTGCGGTACAGATTTCTATTGGGGAACTGTTGAAAAAAGGCACACCTACAACATTAATGGGTTAAAGGAAAAATGACCAAAGTAATATAGGTGGCATCCATCAGCAGTGCTCGTGAACAGAGAAATGTTATAGGAACAAACGAGTAAAAGTGTTTAGATTATTGGGGTTGTTCATTGTTTTGGCATTGTAGTTTGAAAAATATCCCACAGTGCAAACACGAGCTATTTGAGCCTCCATTTCCATAGGTGTCCATGGTTACTATGAGAATATTTTTTTCCCTGTGACGTCTATGGGGTTGAAGCTCCATTGTATCTCTCGTAAGTAATGGTTCTGCCCACAGAGATCCTATACTAGTTAGTGTTGTAGTTCCTATTTCTACGGTTTTGCCTACCTGCAGCAATCAGGATTTACCTGCAGTGTTGATTGCAAATCCGTAATTTGTCAAATCATAATAACAGATGTTTTGCAAACCGTTGATGTTTAAATAAATGGATTCCCGGTGTCCGGATACCTTTTCTCTTAAGGGATCTGATTGAGTGAATCCAAAGTAAAAATGTGAACATTTTTCTCACTTGGTCTAAATACATAATAGGATGAATCATTCAGGTAAAATAACACAATGTCTATTTGAGTTGAATCAACGTAATATAATACTTTTTTACCTCTATCATCTTTACTCAATGTATTGGACCACATCTAAACAACTTACTCAAGCTTATCTACTCATAAAAACAAGCAAAAAGATCTACTCAATAATATGACGTGTGCTTTTGTTGACTGTAATAGTTTGAGTACATTCCACAAAGTCATTTTTTACAGTGTATCTAAAGACACGTTTGTTGTGGTGATGCACTTTGTCTTTGACGTTGAACTTGCATTGAACAGACAAATCCATTTCGTTACAACCCTTTGGTAGTATGACTTAGGAATATTTGTTGATGATCCTAATGTCTATGCTTGAGTAGTGATTGGTTGTGGGTGAAATATTGCTGAGAACCCATCGTTACCTGCCCTTTTTTGACTATTGAGCAATTTAGAAACATTTGTTTTGCTATTGGATTCATAATGCTCACCTGGGACAAGTAATTCGTGAAAACCAGAGTTCAGCAGTTGGCATTAAAGCGATCGAACCAAGTCATCCTAATAGGCTAGTATTAGCCTAAAGCAGGGTTTCCCAAACTCTGGCCACGTTTTGGGAGTTTTTGCCCTAGCGCTACACAGCTGATTCAAAGAATCAACTCATCATCATCAAGCTGGGAGTATTAGAAAAAACGCAAAATGCGCACCCCTTGGGAACCCCAGGACTAAAACAAAAAGGGAATCACCATGATGTGCAGTACTCGAATGTAACCACAAGATGTCCTCCGTGCTCCACTGTAATGTTGTGGCCTCTGCATGAGTCTCTCAGCAGCACTGCAACATGGGACTCTCAAAGTCAGTTGGCATGCAATGTTTTTTCTTGACTGCATGCAAGGCTATTATTACACACAACTAATAGTGTCAATTATTCATCTGAACACAATTCTTGTTACTATTCGGCCTATATTATCACTCGTTTCTTTTTCCCCTCCTTTGTTAAACATTTTACTGTGCTACTATAGTCCAAAGGAAGTGGATGATGCCAGATGGTTGTGTATATACACACACACACACACACAAACATTGAAGCTAGACTTCAGGCAACTAAAAGGTGCAATACGTAGCTTTTAGACGTGTTAGTGAACAACATACATGGTGGCTAATGTAGAGGTGCGTGTATACATGGAACAATTGTGCCTTTTTGATGGAAATATGGAGGTGGCTCTTAAAAGAGCCTTTGGGGGATATTCGAGTTCAGGTCATCCTCATTTATGCGCGCTCTCCGCGAATACGGCGGGCCAGCTGGATGTCCTTGGGCATGATGGTCACCCGCTTGGCGTGGATGGCGCACAGGTTGGTGTCCTCGAACAGGCCGACCAGGTAAGCCTCGCTAGCCTCCTGTAGGGCCATCACGGCGGAGCTCTGGAAGCGCAGGTCGGTCTTGAAGTCCTGGGCGATTTCTCGCACCAGGCGCTGGAAGGGCAGCTTGCGGATGAGCAGCTCAGTGGACTTCTGGTAACGACGGATCTCTCTCAGAGCCACGGTGCCGGGCCTGTAACGGTGAGGCTTCTTCACACCGCCGGTGGCCGGGGCACTCTTGCGAGCAGCCTTAGTGGCGAGCTGCTTCCTGGGGGCTTTGCCACCGGTGGATTTGCGAGCGGTTTGCTTGGTTCTGATTTAAGGGTTTTTATTAAAAACGTACAAAAACCATACATCATAAATCATTCAATTTCAATACAATACAATATTTGCATCACGCCACACCATTCTCACTCCAGTATCCTCTCACCCTCCTCTTTCCACCACCCCATCCCTATTAACCAACCAACAGCCCCATCATAATAAGAAAAAACTATACTATGCCATTTAGCAGACGCTGTACTTACCGTCATGCTTGCATACATTTTACATATGGGCGGCTTCGGATTCCGAACCCTCTACAAACGCCATGCTCTACCCCACTGAGCCACCTAGGACTACGATAAAATAAACATAGAAATCACATCATGTATACCGGCTACGCCACATAGGGCTATGAGAAACCAAACAAAAATCAAACTATAACACTAGATACACCTCAGGGGAGCACCTTCCCTCCCCTTTTTACCCAGCCACAAAAAACACACCCTCCTCCCTACCCCTCTATACTAAACCTAAACCCCCCCTCTACACTAATCCTAAACCCCCCTTCCACCTCTCCCGAGCGGCATGCTGCCCCCACTTCTTCTCCTCTCCCTTCATCCTCCCCCTCAAATTTCTCTCCACCCTCCTCACTATCCCCTCCACACCCCCTTCCCCCCCTGTCCTTTCCAATTTCTGCCTAGCCTCCCACAAACCCTGTTTAAAGAGGCTTATGAGAAGCCAGAGCAGAAACCTGTCCCTAACCGTCCCCCTCGCTCTCCCTACCCCTCTCTCTACCCTAGCCCATGTAACCACAAAATCCCCTCTCACCCTGCCTATCAGACCCTGTGCCCTAGCCCACACTACCCCGGCGAAAGCACAGTCCCAAAAAACATGGCGCACCGTCTCCTCCCCGCCACACGTTGGCCTTGGGCAGGTGGGGGATCGAGTCAAGCCACGCCCGTACAAGATGGAACGTACGGGCAAGCCCTTATGGAGGCTCAACCAATTCAGGTCCTTGAGCCTGTTATCCAGACCTCGCACCTGCACTCCCTCCCAAACCACCGCCGGGATACCCAATACCGGCCCGGGACACCCTCCCCGTCTCACCTCCTCGTACAGGTGCCTGTGATCTAAACCTACTCGGGCTACTTCAACCTCGGGGTGACCACGCAGCCACTTGGCCGCATAGCTAAAGTGCCACGGCAGCTGTTCCGCCCGAGGACCCGTGTTAGTCCACACCATTACGCTTCTCGCCTGGTAAGAGAAGAACACCCGCAGGAGGTAACCAGACGGGTGTATTACCGGATGAGCCAGCTCAGTCAACAAATATGAAACAAAAATTGAATCCAGCTTGAGGGGGAAATGTGGTACCCCCCTACCTCCCTCCCCGATGGGACAGAGCATGCGTACCCTCGCGACATACTCTTGCCTGCCACCCCACATGAACTGGAACACCAGCCTCACTAGAGGCACTCTCAGACTCTCTGGCAATGGGTAGACGTATGCCATATACAATAGTGATGGCAACACATCCACCTTGAGGACCAGGACCTTGCCTATAAAAGACAATGACCTAGCCCTCCACATCCCCACCTTCCTCTGCACCACTGCGATGCATCTGTTCCAGTTCAGCGTCGCTGAGCCAGAGGTCTCAAAAAGGACCCCGAGAATCTTCAGGGCCCCACTACAGAGAGATAACCCCCCAGGCACATCCGTCCTCCCACGCCATCTTCCGAAATACTTTACGGATGACTTAGCGTGATTGAGGACCGCTCCCGACGCTCGGGTGAATTCCCCTATGATGGCAAGGGACCTAGTCAGGCACGAGTCCTTGCATAGCAACAAGGAAGTATCGTCTGCGTACTGGGTCATCTTAACATGCAGCCCACCGCTTCCAGGGATAAGCATGCCCTCCACCCCTGTGTCTGCCCTAATGGCAGCCCCCAGAGGCTCCATGTACAGAACGAAGAGGAGTGCCGAGAGCGGGCACCCCTGCCTGACCCCAGACTCAAGGTCAAAAACGTCACCCATGTGACCGTTTACGTTCACCCGGCACCCTGCTCCGACATATAAAGCACGGATCCACCCTATATACTTCTCCCCAAAACCTAATCTGCCTAACACCCTGAAAAGAAAAGATCTATTCACTCGATCAAAGGCTTTAGCCTGGTCGAGTGCTGCTACCATTAGCGGCAGCCCTCTATCCTCTGCCCAAGCAATGGAGTCCCTGATCAAACTCAGGTTCCACCTAATAGAGCGTCCCTCTATCCCACACGTCTGATCCTCATGGACGACGTAGGGAAGGGCTGTGCGCAACCGGTCCGCTAGAACCTTCGCAAGTAGCTTGTAGTCTACGCACAGCATGGTCAACGGCCGCCAGTTGCCGAGATCTGTAGCGTCCCCCTTCTTGTACAGAAGTGACAGCACACCTACGGCCATCGATCCCCCCGGGACCCCTGTCTCGAGGATGGCCTTCAAGACTTCGAGGACTACTGGCCCAAGTATACCCCAAAACTTGAGGTAAAACTCAGCCGGCAGCCCATCCATCCCGGGCACCTTCCCTTTTCCCATCCTCCTGAGGGCGCTCTCAACCTCTTCTAGGGAGATCTCAGCCTCCATTGCTTTTCTAATGTCCTCCGGCACTTGCCGGGACAGGTGTTCTAAAAACACATTGCCCTGCTCTACATCTACTGCCCTCTCTTGAAAGAAACCTCGGAAATGCTCCGTGGTCACCTTGACCATTTCCTCCGTCTCTCTCACTACTCTACCGCTTTCTTCCCTAACCCCATACATTACCTTCCTACTCTGCCTTTCCCTTACTGATTTAAAGAACACGGCCGAACATGTTTCGTCGTGTTCTATAAAACCACTACGCGCCCGCATCAAGAAAGCGCGAGCCTTCCGCTCATGCACCTCCCTTAGCTGCGCCTTTAGGGCAGCGGATCTCTCCCAGTCTGCCGACCCGCCGAGGTTGCCTGCCTCAAGCTCGAGTTCTAGCAGCCTTTGGATATGATCCACCTCCCTCCTTTCCTCCCTCTTTTTCCTCTTCCACTGTCCTATTATAAAAACCCTCATCCTCACCTTCACTATTTCCCACCACTCTAACACCCCCTCACACATGGACCGGAGGCCTTCAAGCCCCCTAAAAAAATCTACAAAAGCGTTGACGAAAGCCTGCCCATCCAGCACCTCCCGTTCTAACTTCCAGTACCCCCTACCGAAGAGACAGACTGGTGCCCCCACCTGCAGGAGCACCCCGTCGTGGTCCGAAAAGAACACAGGCAACAAGCGCCCAGACAACTGACCCAGAGACCTAGATAGGAAAATATAGTCGAGCCTCCGCTCGACCCCCCTAGAGTTGCGCCATGTTGGCCATGCCATCGCCGGAACAGTGTGCAGGCCCCCATCCACCAGACCATGGCTTGCCATTAGTCCGGCGACGGCTCCTGCACTACTATCCCCCCCCCTCCCTATGTCTACATTGAAATCCCCCCCTATCACCAAGTGTCTATTTGTAGCACACAGCGGCTCCAGGCAGTCCACCATCTCCCTCCTGCCCGTTGCCAACTGTGGCCCGTACACCACAATAACCCTGTATCTACTCTCCCTTATCGTGACATCCGCTCCCAGTACCCTACCCTGCATACCCACAAAAGTGCCCTCCACCTTCACCTCCCTATTCCCACACAGAATCCCCACCCCTGATGAATGAACCCCCCCTATGCCCCACACCGACTCCCCCTTGTCCCACTCCCTCCTAAACCTTAAAACATCCCCACTATCCCTTAGGTGAACCTCCTGTATAAAACAAACATCAAAACCCACCCCCTCTAAATACCCAAAAACCGCCCTTCTCTTAACCCCCTCCCTTATTCCCCTCACATTTACCGTAACAAAAATAACCCCTGCCATAATACATATTACACATCACGCAATAATATTCCCCCAAACTAAAAAACCAAAACAGGAGGCTCACCTGATGCTCCCCTGCTCCATCTCCTCCAGCGGTGCCTCCGACCCCCCTTCAGGTGTCGTCCCCCCACTCTCCTCCATCTCCCCAGCCCAGGATGCCGGAATGGTGTTCGGTTCCCGGGTTTCCTGATCCCTGGGCTCACCACCATCCTCCTCCATCCCATCAACCCAGAAAACGGTTGGAAATAGCACCGGGGATCCAGCGTCCTCTGCCCCCCCCTGCCACCCCCCAGTGGGTGCCCCCGGCAGTTGTGCATTGGGAGGGGTCAGCGCCGTGGGAGCTTCTTCCCCACCACCCTCCTTCTCTCCCATTACTCGCTTCGCCTCCCCCTCTTCCCCCCCGCCCATCTCCCTCTTCCTATCCCCAGACCTCCCCCTCCTCTTCCCTCTCTTCTTCGTATGACCCGACAGCGGGGAAACCATAACCCCCCTAACCCCCAGCTCCTCCCTCACCTCCCTCAGCTCCTCCTCCCCTTCTCTCGCTCTCTCCCTACTCCCCCCCTCCGGCATCGCCCCTCTCCCCTTCTCCTCTCCTTCCAGGGCTGTGGCCGGCACCTCACCGACCTCCTCTCGCTGCTCCGTCTCTGGCACCTCCTCTCCCACTCTCCCCTCTGTCTCCGTCTCCGTCGCCGTTCCCGCCTCTCCTTCCTGTCCTTTTCCTGCCGTCCTCTGCCCGTCCTCCTCTCTTCCCGCTGCTTTTCCTGGCACCTCCTCTGTTGCAGCCGGACTTCCCTCTGGCCCTTGGCTCGGGTCTGGAACTCCCTCTCCACTTCCTCCCCCATCCCCCTCTCCTGCACCTGCTCCCCCCCCTGCAGCCGCTGCATACGACTTGTGGCGAGCCGTGCAGTCCCTCCACAGATGTGCTGATGATCCACACCCGTGGCATTTCTTTGGCTCACCACAGTCTTTCGCCTCGTGCGCCCCTGACCCACACACCCTGCACTTCCTCCCTCCACATGAGGCGAAATTATGTCCGTACGTCATGCAGCGTCTGCAGAACGGAGGCTGACGGGCATAAAATATTGTCCCCCTATCAGCCCCCAGGGAAAACATTGCTGGAGGATGAAGGTACCCCCCCAGGCCCCCTGGGTCTTCCTTCAACAAGGCCTGGAAACTCCTCCTCCCGTTCCAGAACCCGAGCGTGTCCTTGAGGAGCCTTGCTGAGGAGACATTGTCCATGTACCTCCCCAGAAAGGCCCTCACCTCCTCTTCCTTAACATGCGGGTTGTACATGTTTACAGTCACCACTCTGAAGCCGTTTCTCGCCAGGCTCGCCACTTCGTAGTGGCACATGGGTCTAGCCTTCTCCACCACCTTCACCCTTCCCATGACCTCGTCATGCTTCCCCTCCGTGTGGAGCACGACATCATATGCCCCTTCCAGGGGATTCGCCTGGAGGCACAACACGTCCTTTACCTCCAGCTTCAGGACCCCCATGAGTATGGTCCTCCCGAACGTCTCCCTTCCAAAGGGCTCCATCTCCTTTTCCCTCCATGCGAACCTTATCGCGTTGGCAATACCCATCCTGGGAATCGCCCGATACTTTTTCGACTCCGCCATCTCCGCAAGGAGAATAGCGATTTCACTTCTGCCCGACTCTTTTGTTTAAACTTGGCAAGTTCCAAAAAAAATTGCTTGGTTCTGGCCCTGTCGCTTCTCTGACAGTCGGGAGTATAGCCTCGAAATGCCTATGTGAAGTTTATAAAGCCGGCAGTGGCGCCTGCTGATTGGACACCATCTCCCCACCACCCCGATTGGCCCGTTGCGCAGGCCTCCTCCGTTGGCCATTGGACGGGAGGCCCGGCCTCTCCAAAATTCAAACTCCCGGTGCGCGCGCAATAGGATGCCGCCGGCCCTTTACGTGCAATAGGACGCCGCCGGCCCTTTACGTGCAATAGGACGCCGCCGGCCCTTTACGCGCAATAATAGTCGCCAAAGTCAAGAGTGACATCTTATAGGCACGTGTAATCTAATGCTAGCCTGCTATGGCAAACGAGGCCTAGTAGGTGTAGTTGTTCATGCAAGGCCTCATGTGGGCACAGAATGTCGAAATAGTTGTGTATACACCCACTCAATGTATTGCGGTCATAGAAAGGTACTTTGCGCTTTTGGAGAGCTAGGTGGTTGGCTCTTAAAAGAGCCTTTGGGGGTTGAGTAGTCAAGTTGAAGTCGCAGTAGCGAATTTACTTGGCTTTGACTGCCTTCTCGGTCTTCTTGGGGAGTAGCACTGCCTGGATGTTGGGCAGCACACCACCCTGAGCGATGGTCACACCGCCGAGCAGTTTGTTCAGTTCCTCGTCGTTACGGACGGCCAGCTGCAGGTGACGGGGGATGATACGAGTCTTCTTGTTGTCACGGGCAGCGTTGCCGGCCAACTCCAGGATCTCAGCAGTCAGGTACTCGAGCACGGCGGCCAGGTAGACTGGTGCGCCAGCGCCCACACGCTCGGCGTAGTTGCCTTTGCGCAGCAGCCTGTGCACACGGCCCACAGGGAACTGGAGACCAGCACGGGATGAACGGGTCTTTGCCTTCGCCCTGGCCTTGCCTCCGGTTTTGCCTCTTCCGCTCATATTGGTAGCTTGAGAAAGTCACAGAAAGTCTGAATGAGCCGCTCGCCACTTCGAGAGCCGTACATATACCTCGCCACAAGAGGCAACGATTGGCCACCGGGCCGGTGTGGCCTTATCCAATTGGAGCGAGGGACAGACGGACGGACAGACAGCTCTAAGCCGGTTCCCACCCACAGGCAGCGAGTGAGAGGCTACTTTGTTTCCCTCCGACTTTGTGTCATTTCGCGTGAGCGCCAAAATGTCCGAAATGAAATCCTCACATTATTTCTCTCCAAATGGGAAACAAACAGCTGGTGAGGGTGCACTCTTGAGTTTGAAATCGAAGCCACTATAGTATTGTTATTGTTGTTACATGGCACTTGTAACACATCACAGCAGCCTGCCTCTGAACGGGAATAGCCCAGTGGCTCATATATAAAAATGGCACTCGTGAGGTCGAATTTCTAAGCCATTTTGGCCCTCTATTATATGCCTCTCCCTTCGCACACACCCAGAGTGGGACAATGTTGTGTGCGTAAAAGTAGCCTAGTGTGCGTAATTTCTTTTTCACGACAGGTAGTACATGGAAATCAATGCGCTTTCTATGGAAAGAGGTGGGTGGCTCTTAAAAAATAGCCTTTTGTGGTACAACATGTGTCGAGTAGAACACTGTTTGTAATAGGTTTACTTCTTCTTGGGGGCTGCCTTCTTGGCCTTGGCTGCCTTGGGCTTGGCTGCCTTTGTAGCCTTCTTGGGGCTCTTGGCTGCCTTCTTGGCCGCTGCGGCGGGCTTCTTCACCTTCTTGGGGCTCTTGGCGGCCTTTTTGGGTGTAGCGGGCTTCTTGGCCTTCTTGGGGGACTTCTTTGCGGTGACGGCCTTCTTGGCTGCTACCTTCTTGGGCTTCTTAGCCGCGGCTGGCTTCTTGGCAGCCACCTTCTTTACTTTGGGGACTGCGGCTTTCTTGGCGGGCTTCTTCGCCTCGACGGCTTTCTTGTTGAGCTTGAAGGAGCCGGATGCACCGGTGCCCTTGGTCTGGACCAGGGTGCCCTTGGTGACGAGGCTCTTGACTGGGATCTTGACACGAGAGTTGTTCTTCTCCACGTCATAGCCGCCTGCCGCCAGCGTCTTCTTGAGCGCGGCCAGGGACACGCCGCTCCTCTCCTTGGAAGCGGTCACAGCCTTGACGATGAGCTCGCCTACGCTGGGTCCCGCTTTCTTGGCCTTGGCTGCTGCCTTCTTCTTGGGTGCCTTGGCCGGTGCGGCGGCGGCGGGTGCTGGTGCAACTTCTGCCATGTCTGTCTGTCGTTTGGTCCGGTACACACACACACGGTCTGCGAGGAGTAGTTTCCTGTAGATGCTGTTCTGCGCTATTGAAGCTCCACACTGAGCAGGGGGCTGGCCTTAAACGCGACATGAGAACCATGTAGACTCAAGCCACCCAGCTCGGCTTCTCTGGGCTGGCCAAATGCTCTTTCACTTGTGTTTTCTGTTCGCCTATATCGGCCCAAAAGTCACCGACGGAGCCGTGTTTTTGCTCCAAAAGCGAACGGCCCAGCGAGCAGACTTGTCTCCGTTCAGAATAAAGTCATGTGGGCCGCGGAAGGGCCGTGCATTTTGTTGCGACTCGCTCAAAATCTCACCGTTGGACTGTCGGGTGGAGCGGTGCGCACTGGTTTTCCTGTGCTATTTGTCTCCTAAATGGCCTAAAAGTGCATCCGATTGCGAGCAGCACTTGTTGTGTAGTGAGCCGAGATGTCTGGCAAGGGAATCAAATGGTTTGGTGTCCCCTGATGTGGTCAAGGGTGTTTTAAAGAAGTGCTCTTTTGGGGACCTTAAAACACATGCACCTGTGAGGCCTGGCTGAGACGAGTGTTGTACTTCAAGTTTCAAGTTGTATTCGTCGTATGTACAGGATCCACATGGTATAAACTGTCCTACGACATGCTTACTTGCACTGTGTGTATATTAGTACTTTTTGTGCACTGGCAGTGTGTGTGTTGTTGTTGTATTTGTAGCCTACTATTTCTACACAGTGAGATTGTGTGTTGTCTTCCCCTCCCTTCTGGTAGGTAGGTAGGTAGGTAGTTAGGTTGGCTGTCTCTACTAATATATTGTTCACCTGCTTGACTCCGCAGCGTGACTCGGCTCGGTCTTTGTGTCTGTGGGTCTTGGTGTCTGGCTGGCGCTATGGAGGCTGGCGCCCCATGGGCTATGGCGCGTTGATATAGGCCTAGATAGAGGGAGTCTCTATCTCTCTCTCACTCTCTCTCACTCTCTCTCTCTCTCTCTGTCTCTCTCTCTGTCTCTCTCTCTCTCTCTCTCAGTCTCTCTCTCTCTATCACACTCATTCACTCACTCACTCACTCCTTCAGTCACTCCTTCACTCCTTCACTCCTTCACTCACTCACTCTCTCACTCTCTCTCTCTTTCTCTCTCAGTCTCTCTCTTTCTCTCTCTGTCTCTCTGTCTCTCTTTCTCTCTCTCTCTCAGTCTCTCTCTCTCTCTCTCTCTCCAAGTGGGACAAGGGCTGCATATGTGGTTGGACTGGGAGAAGAATCCCAGCAGGTGCATGTGGGTCAGAAGGCTGATTGCGGCCTCTTTTCTTTTCCCTGTTGTATAGGCTATCCCCAAGGTAGTCATTGGAATCCACTACTGCTCCAACGACTATCACACTCACTCACTCACTCCTTTAGACACTCATTCACTCCTTCACTCACTCACTCACTCTCTCAGTCTCTCTCTCTTTCTCTCTGTCTCTCTCTGTCTCTCTCTCTCTATCACACTCACTCACTCACTCCTTCACTCACTCACTCCTTCACTCACTCACTCTCTCACTCTCTCTCTCTCTCTCTCTCATTCTCTCTCTCTCTGTCTCTCTCTCCCTCTCTCTCTCTCTCTCCGAGTGGGACAAGGGCTGCATATGTGGTTGGACTGTGAGAAGAATCCCAGCAGGTGCATGTGGGTCAGAAGGCTGATTGCGGCCTCTTTTCTTTCCCCTGTTGTATAGGCTATCCCCAAGGTAGTCATTGGAATCCACTACTGCTCCAACGACTATCACACTCACTCACTCCTTCAGTCACTCAGTCACTCATTCACTCACTCACTCACTCTCTCTCTCTCTGTCTCTCTCTGTCTCTCTCTCTTTCTCTCTCTCTCTCTCTGTCTCTCTCTCAGTCTCTCTCTATCTAATCAAAGGGGCAAAAGGAGGGAGAAAAAAAGGAAAGGGGGGCGGAGGGAGAGAGAGGCGAACGTGCTCCTCATCACAAAATCACTTTTTCATACCACCCCACCCCTTTCGCATCATTACCCTCACTCTCCCCACTACTCACCACTCACTCACTCTCTTTTCCCCCTTTTTCTCTTTTTCTCTCTTCTCTCCTCTCTCCCGGTGGGACAAGGGCTGATAGGGTTGGGGATGGGAGAAAAAATTTTCCCCAGCAGGTGTGGGGGGGCAGAAGGTGATTGGGGCCCCCTTTTTCTTTTCCCGTTTAAGGCTTCCCCAAGGTAGTCTTTGGAATCCACTACGCTCCAACGACATCCACTCATCTTCTCTGGTTATACTGTAAATTTGGCCACAGAACATCATTCCCCATTTGTCACGGGGGGAAGCCACTCCCTTTTTTTTCTTTGCCTGTGAGTGTAGTGGAAGGAAAAAAAAAACACTACGTGACTAAAATGATCTTTTCACATGGACATTTTGAGTCATGTAGCAGACGCTCTTATCCAGAGCCACTTACAGTTAAGTGAGTGCGTACATTTTCATACTGGCCCCCCGTGGGAAACGAACCCGCAACCCTGGCGTTGCAAGCGCTGTGCTCTACCAACTGAGCTACAGGGGACTATATGGATGATGCGACCTTGACCGGAAATGACCTGTAGGCCAAAAGGGCTACGTTCATATATACAGTGGGGAAAAAAAGTATTTAGTCAGCCACCAATTGTGCAAGTTCTCCCACTTAAAAAGATGAGAGAGGCCTGTAATTTTCATCATAGGTACACGTCAAATATGAC